GCCCTTCATTGTTTTCTGCTGCCATGAACTGCTGCTGTTTGCCTTGGAGCCAGCGGAGTATGTGCTAAAACCTCCACAAACTGTGAGCCTTTCCTTCCTTAATTTTGAGTGCTCAGTATTTGTCCCAGCAATGAGTACAAAGTAACAAGACACACACACACACACACACACACACACACACACACACACACACAGAGTGTGGGCCACCTTTAATTCCAGCACCACACATCCTAGATCCAACCAGCTCCAAAAGCCCCACCAGTGATTTCATGAGGCTTTGGAAGGACATCTAGATCCAAGCCGTGCATTCCGCCCTTTGCCCCCAGAGACTCAGGCATATCCTTTATGCAAAAGGCATTCAGTCCCTCTCTCAGATGTGCAAGAGGCCTCACAGCTTCAGCACTGCTGGAAAGCTCAACGTCTTCCTGAAATGTAAGGCAAACTCTTAGCCATATGCTCCTGTACAAATGAAAAGAAAGTTAAATACTTCCAATGTATGGCAGCACAAGATAAACATTCTGATTTAAAAAGTACAGATAGGGGACTAGAGAGCAAGGGGACCAGAGCGAGTCCAGCCGGCAAATATTAAGTCCCATAGTTCCATGTCCAGCATCTGAGCCAATCTGTGGCAAGATGTGAACTCCAAAGGGCTTGTCCCTGGTGACAGTCCCTGGTGGCACTGCTGCTGGCTGTGGCTCTCATGACTTCTCTTGCAGGCTGGCTTTGCTCACTCCTTGTGAATTCCCTCAGATGATTCACGTTCTTGGTTTCTCCAAACATTTAGGGTCTCCACTGCATGTTCAGCTGCACACTCGGAGCTTCACAAACTGTCCTCACAGGAGCACTCTGCCTGGCCTCCTGGGCCTTCTGAAATCTGGGTGGAAGTCTTTCTGACTCCACAGCTTTTGCATTCTCTATACACCTAAAATCAGCACCATGTGAATCATTCCAGGGCCTGCTGCCAGCTGGAGCAATAGATAGGCCTGCTTCTTTCTTGGCTGCAGAGTTTGAGTGCCTGGGTTGTTCAGAGCTCTGACCCCAATCGCAAAGAACAGCTCCCCTAGGCTGTCACCTTCAGGAACAGAGTGCTCTGAGGCTCTCTTCTCAAAGCAGTCTTTCTTCACCTTTGCAATTTAGAGACTGTAAACACTTGAGTCCTGCCACTTCTTATAACATCCTCAGACCATCTTTTCTATTACCTCTGGGAAATCCTTGGCATTTTATTGCTAGTCTTTTCAGTGTATGGTTTCTCCTCTGTTCCATCTTTTGTAGGCTGTAACTTTACAGGCCTTCCTCTCAGGCCAAACTCAAAGCATTTGAAATCATTCTGTTTCACTCTTTGTTCTTGATTCTCAACATGAATCTGACTGAAAGCCCCCAGCAGTACTGTGCCATCACCTCAGTGTTATGATACCTTGAAATTTCTTCTGCTAGGTTAATTAGTCCAGCAGCCTTTATCTCAGTCACAGAAGTCTTTGGACATAAGCAAAATACAGACAGATTTTATGACAAAGATTAACAGTAGTCTGGAGTCCAAAGGCCAATTCAGTTCCTTACTCCTGACTGAAACATCCTGGTCTCTCCTGGCTGCTTTTATATCTGCATTCTGATTTTCTGAGCTAAGAGCAGGATCTCCCATCAAGTGCAGCTTACATTCCTGGGCTGCTTCTTCAGCCAGCATCTCCAAAACTTTCCAAATTCTTCTCACAATCCAGTTCCAAAGACTCCTGAGCCACATGGACAGCTACAGTCACAGCAACCCCTACCTTCCCACCAAACTCTGTCTTAGCTATTTTCTCATTGTTGAGATGAAATACCCAACACCCAAAGTTAGAGGAAAGGTTTACTTGGTTCATGGTCTGCAAAGGTTTCAGTCCACAGTCAGCTGGCCCCAAAGCAGGGCCATATTGTGGAGAAGAAGTGACTGTTCATGGTATAGAAGGCAGGAGGCAGCATGAGCAGAAAGCAGCAGCAACTGTGCCTTCTCTTTGTTCCCAAACCCAGAGGAGGGCGCCTTTAATCCCAGCAAAACACACACATGCTACCTACAGCCACCACCAAATGTATCACATCTGCCCAGATGAGGTTTTGGGGGACAACTAGACAAAAATGAGAACAGTAGTAAAATAGAAACACTTAATCCACTGGATGATACAATAGGTATTGAAAACTCTTGAAGACATAGGCATAGACAAGGACTTTCTAAACAGAACACCACCTGCACAAGAAGTGACACCAAGAATAAACAATGGGGTTATAGTAAATTAAAAAGCATATGCACAAGAAAGAAACAACCAACAGAGTGAAGTGACAACCTACAGAATGGTAAGTAACATATTAATTCATTTTATGTACCCAACCTTTCCCCTCCATCACCCTTACTCCCTCTCTTCATCTCCTTTCCATTTTCACAAGATCTAACTGGGCCAGGAAGATGGCTCAGTGGACTAAGCACCTGCTTAGGCAAGCACAAGGCTCAGGGTTCAATCCCTGGTACCATATACTATGCCAGCCCCCTCCCCAGAACCGACTGAGCCTGCCAGAGTTGGGCATGGTGGCACACATCTGTAATCCCAGTGCTGGGGAAGCTGAAAGCAAGAGGATCACTATGAGTCCAAGCTGTGTAGTGAGACCCTGCACACACACACACACACACACACACATGCACACACACACGTACACACACACACACACACACACATACATACACACACACCTATTTTCTATTATCTATTGTGGAGGACCACCTGAGCAGCTCGCCTTGAAAGAGAGCAACTGTCTCCATTTTGACTGAGCCTGACCCTATTTCCTCGTATTGTTCTGTACAGAGCTGGCTAGGACTTCTGTTTATCCTTTAATTGGCCTTAAGCAATGTATATTGGTCTAGCTGAGGTGCTGGTAGTAGTCTCTGAAAGTGGCATGCGTGTTTCCCTGGTAACCAACACCTGCTGCTCTTTAATGTGAGACAGGCTGAGACAGGATGAAGAGCTAATGTTCTGCATGCCAGCTAGGACTGAGCCTCGAGACAGAGGCTGTGACTTCCTGGGGCTTGAAAGACTACATCAAAGCTGAAGCACCAGACCCCACAAAACATTAGATACTATCTCTATAGCATAAAGCAGATTACTTTCTCTGCATATCCTCTCTCCATATGGCAGAGGTGAATGTAGGCAACCCACCTAGCTCAGCTCACAGTACTCATCTACTTCCCACAGATTTTGGTCATTCCTCATCAAGCCACTCCTCCACTGAATAAAATTGGGTGAGGCCCTGGGTCCGCCTCTTGGTTCTGGAAAGCCATCCTCGTGGCTGGACTTAGGGGCCCTTGGTTCCCCAACAATTATAAATATGTCTTAGTGTCTTTCCTTTCGCCATGAGTTGCACTGGGAGTGGTAGATTGGAATTAACTTGATGGGATTCCAACAACGTAACTTTGGGATCACAAGTATTGGCTTCTTGGACCAAGACAAGGACCTGGAAGTGACTCCTATGATCTATCTTTATTTTGTTCTTTAATGATGTATGCTTTGAGTTCCTCATATAAGTAAAGCCATGTGATATTTAAGTTCATGTGTCAGATTTATTTCACTTGTATTACTGTCTGAGGAGCATCCAGTTACCTACAATAACTCAGATTTCTCTCTGTTTATGGCAAGATAGGACTCCATTGTGCTTAAATGCCACTTTTCCTTATCTATGCATCTGTCGGTGAACATATATGTTATCCAATATTTAACTATGTGAATTGTGCTGTTATATACATGAGTATGCACATGTCATTGTGATATGATGTCTTTAGCATTTTTGAGAGAATATCTAGTATAGTTGTGTGCTATACATATACCAGCTCCCCATGATGCACGTAGTCAGTACATTATGTACTGAAAAATAAAAATTTGAAAACAATGTTTTGTTCTACAGGAAAACTCCAGCTGGGGAGATGGCTCAGTAGAATAAGCACTTCCCTGGCAAGCATAAGGGCCTGAGTTCAATCCCTGGTTCCACCAAAAGAAAAAGAAACAAACAAAAAAAAAGGCTGGGGAGATGGCTCAGTGGAATAATTGCCTCCCAGGCAAGCGCAAGGGCCTGAGTTCAATCCCCGATTCCACCAAAAAAAAAAAAAAGTTCTGCAGGAAAACTCAATGAACTATCTAATATTTAATCAGGGTCAGGTTATCCATCCTATCTGTACCAATAATATCATGAAGATGGATTTTTTTAGATTTTTTTATTATATTGTACAGGGTCTCACTATGCAGCTCAGACTCATAGTGATCTTCCTGTTTTCAAACTCCCTAGAACTTGGATTACAGGTGTGCACCACCTCACCTGGACTCTGTGGCCAGCTCAGTGCACCCACGGATGGGGCCAGTGCAGCATATGGTGCCAGGAGTCAAACCCAAGTCCCTGCGCTTGCTTAAGCAGGTGCTTAGTCAACTGAGCTATCTCGCCAGCCCCCCAGCAGGGTTAAAGACTCAAGAATCATCATCATCATATGATTGTCATGCCTATTTTTCCATAAGAAAAGAGCCACAGCCACCAGTGAATAGACCAAATGTGAATTGGGTAATCCCTTTTTACTGTGTACACTACTATTATCTTCTTTGAAATATTCAGGTTCTAATTGTTCAGTTCATATAGATGAGTTAGAAAGAACTTAGGTAAAATGCTTCCTCCATGCCCTTTATTCCTCTGTCTATTTTAAGGGGCAGCCTGAGGAGGTCCTGGGGGGTGACATCTTCCTCTATCAGAGCTGCTAAACTCTCACATTCCAAGCACTGATGGGGTTGACACAGAATCACCCCGCAACATGCACTCTGTTGAAAACTCCTACCGTTCTTCAGCCCTGCATGACAAGAACTCATAGAACCACCAAGTCTTCAAGAAAAATGATTTATTTCCCTTTCCTTGGCTACTGGCATTCTAGATACTAGGTAGCTTAGTCTCCATGACTGGGACCTGGTAGTTGAGAGAAGGCCGGGTCCCACAGCACGATGGTGTCAGCGATAGAACAAAAGCACCGCTGCCTCAGTTATCTCCCGGCTACTGCTCCATGCGGTATGAGTTCCATATCCATTCCAGTTAAAAGCGGAGAAGTCTCCACATTGCAGAGGATTGCCCTCTGGGAAGAAGCCTCCTCCACCAATACAGTTCTACAAAAGAAGAAAGGGGGAAAGGACAGTGGGAGATCAGATGGGGAAGCTAAAGACATCTCCGTGGCAAAGTCTTTGTGCTTCATTAGGAATATCCTTTGGTGGTTCTGATGTATTACACCTGTAAAATCCTCTCTTCCTTTAACTTTATTTCCATCACGTCTCCACTTGACTTTCTACTTCTTGTGAACATTCATTCTCAGTGTTCCTGGTGAGATGCTTCATGAGTGCCTCAGGTGCAGCTCCCTAGGAGGGGACACAGCTCCCTCTTCCTTAAAGACTGTAGGACTCTCTTGGTCTTGCACCTGATACACCAGAGCTGCAAGGCACCCTATGGCTCCTCAACATCACGTACTTCCTGAAATACTAGTGGCTTCGAATACACTGTTCTTTCAACATAAGCTGCATTAAGACCTCATGGATTTCCATCTATTCCTCAAGAATCAGCCTTGAAGTTACCTTTTCTGTAGTCACTGCCCTGCTACACCCAGCACAGTTATGTGCTTTTGTAGTCCCTAGTTGTTCCTATTTTGTTTGGGGCAGATTGGTGGTCATCAGACCCGGTGCTTCACACATACAAGGTTAGCACTCTAACACTCAGCCCCCTTCCCTGGCCCCTTGTTTCTATATCTACTATATTTCAGAGTCACTACACAGTAATGGCATCTTTATGTCAGTATCCTACTAGATGCTGGACAAGGCTGACTCTGTGAACACACGAATGTGTGCTGCCATACACTACAGGATAGGGGATCCCTGCAAGCCTTTCTAAGGAGAGGTGGTGCCCATGCTCACTGCACTACTTGTGCTTCGGGCCATGGCTGAGAGGTGCCCTTGAGGACAGGTTGTCACAAAGAGACCTGTCTCTTTGGTGCCTTCCAGTTCTCATTCTCCTTTGTGACTGGAGGGTCCTCCTAGACAACAAAGCTGCCTCCCCCTACGTGGGAAAGAGACAAGCTGGTGGCTGAGCAATGAAAGAAGAAGGAGGTCTTCAGGGTCACCTGCCAGCAGCTCAGGACACTTTTTTCATACTGTTAGTGTGGGGAAGGGTGGATTCCAAGTGAGCATGCTCAGCCTGGACAGCTCAAGACCTCCCTCATCATCGCCTTTTGGCCAAAACCTTATTGACTGGGCAAAATAGGTCACAGTCTAATGTTCTCTGACTGAAGGCGATATCATGCTTGCTATACATGACAACTGAGTACAACTGCAGTGGCAGTCAGTCCCCATGGTGACCTCAGGCCAAAGTCTTTTGTGGGAAGGACAAGGGCAGATGGATTGAGTCCCACTTAGGATTCAGGACTGTCCTCACCATCCCTCCACAGTGTGCATTGGTGCAAGCATCAGATGTGACAGGGAACACCAAACTTTATACTGAAAATTAAACCTCAGGTGGAGAAAGACAAGACTGGGTGTTGGTCAGTCTTAGCTCCAAATATTTCACAGCTCTTCCCAAATGTGAGCCTCAACCTAACTCCAATCAACTGGGTGTCTTATGGTAAAAAGCTGAGCAAATGTCAATAGTACATTTGAACCTCAATTCTTAATTTTGGACATCAAGAAGACAGAAAGTCTGTACCTGTGCAGAGAGTCTTATGCCTCTGGTCCCTGGGGAGTGCAAGGGAAAAACCACACTACACACACACACTACACACACACACACACACACACACACACAGCCTTGCTCACAGGTCCCTGTGGTGGCCACAAAAACTTACAACTTCAGTGTTACACCCGGTGACCTTTATTCCAGCGCACAAGGCATTTGCCGCCCTCTCATTATTAAATACTCTGAACTGGACGAATCCTGCAGTGAATTCATCTGGAAACAAGAGAGAGAAAGAAAAATTCAAGGATGATAGTGAAACAAGCTTCCCTTGGGCCAGGTCAGAAACTGTCTATGATAGATTCGGGTTCCAGCCCAACACTTCAGTGGCACCAGTGGAGCCAAAACCTTGGTGCTCAACAAATGGTTTGTGTCAAGCCAAAACCTAGCTGAGAAGGACCCTACCCCATCCCAGAGCCCAATAACTGGTCCTCACATGGTGCTCCTGCACTGGCACAGGCCTGTAGAGAGAGAAACTCAACAATGCAAGAAACCACCATGAACATCACTACAGGCACATCAAGCGCCTGGCAGGCACACTCACAATAGTCCTTTTCACACTTTTCTTGCTCTCTTTCTCTGTAAAGTCTCAAATCCCAAATGCACACAATAACAGCTGTGAATTTTATAGCACAGCCTCAGCCTCTGTGATGGATATGTTACCAAATTTAGATTCACTGTAAAGGAACTTATAGGTACAACTCTCAGTAGAAATATAATTGGCCTGACAAGCACAAGGTCCCAAGTTCGATCCCTGGTACCAAAAAGAAAGAAAGAAGGAAAAAAAGAAAGAAAAGAGGAAAGGAAAAGAAAAGAAAGAATATAATTGGCTCTACATTTCCTGCCCTGTACATGCGGCCCTGGCTTGCTGCTAACAACTTGCTGAAGGGCTGGTCATACAGTTGCTAGGAGTAAAATCTGCAGGCAAATTTCTCCAGTCCAAATTCTCTCATTTACCCACTCATGCCTTTGAAATAAAATAAATTCCTGAGACTCCTCCTGCTCCTTTCCTAATCTTACAAAGGAATCAATACTAGTTCAGGCCTTGAGGGTTGTGTGTAGTTTAAGTGAGACAATGCTGTACATATAACATTCGTAGGGTAGAAGCAGGCTGCAGTAAGTGATAGATAGCTGCTACCCATCATAACAGAATTTGTCATCTTTCCAACAAAGATTTCAGGGGAGCGCTGAAGACTCACTTCGGCCATAGGGGGAGTAATAAGATGCGGTCTTCTGGGCATCGCCAAAATCATAGACCACGGGTATCGCAGGCCCGTTGTCAGTCCAACACTTTCCTGCTCCATATTTCACTGGATATTTCTATGGGAAATGAAGAGGTTATTAGGTCAGAACAATAGGGTTGGCTCTCACTGATGCTGCACAGATGGGAACCATTCTGTTCTTGATAACAGAGATTACATTAAATGCACACAACATAGGAATCTTTCCCTTTGGCTGCACTTCTCCAACATACCAGCTCCCTCTGAGCTCACTCTCAAATTCTTACCCTACCAGTTTCTGGTCTTCCTCTCCCAGTTCACTCTCATGGGTCTTTTGCTCTCCCTGCACCAGAATTTCTCATAGAATTGGGACACAAGATATGAGTAAATGATAGTATAGCAAACATGTAAGATAGCCCTGGGGAAGGTGGTTGTTCCTGATCTCAAGCACCTGCTGCTTTCTAGACCCATGGAAATCAGCACTGCCAGCAACCTGCATACCTGGTAGAGTCCAAACAGATTATTCCCCACATGTGGGAAGAAGCCGGTATTGGTGCGGTATCGCAGCAGGGCATTAGTCCTCCATTTTTCCATTGGGCTATTGTTGGGCACATGCCAGATGCCCAGGTCCCGGGCCTGGATGTCATAGTAGCCAGGATTCTGGAAAGCAACCAACACTTAGCCAGACCAGGCCAAAGGACCCCATGAAGAAAAGAAGACACACACATGAGCCGCTTGGTTGTGTGGACAGTCAAGTTTCAAGTAGCTAGACAGACAGGCAGATTCCACACCCCCATTTCCAGCAGACAATGGATTCCATCACCACCCAGGTGCCCCATTTTTGTTGGGCTTTCGGAGGAGGAAGCTAGGATTCAAGATATGTATTTCTCTTATCTTCTCCCCCTATAGTTCCACACCCCACATTCCAAACCTCCATTCTCCAGGCTTCACACCTTCCCACAGTGGGGGCCAGAGGCACCAACCTTGTAGTCATCGCTCGTGGCAGCTTCTGCAGTCCCAAACGTGTTGTAGTTGGCCCAATTGCCATCACCCTCAGGGTAGTCAGCTCGGTTGCCCTGCTGACTGGACCAACGATCACCCAAAGTGCACTTCCCAAACATGTTGTTTTCATGCACACTAGCCACCAGGGTCCAGCCACCACCATTGGTGGTCATGTCACAGAAGGTCTGGTAGATGACTCCATTCTTGGTGCGGAGGAAGTACAGGCCATCTGTAAGGAGAAGCAGCCCAGAGCCTACCTCTCTGCAAATGCTTAGCCCATCTCAACCCCACCACCAGGGAAGCTCCAGGAACAAGAAACATGGCCCAAACACTCCTCACTTGAGCCCTATGATCTTGTGTCCTTAGGGCCACTAGATCTCCCAAGTTCATAAGACCATAGCCCTGTGAGTGAGTCAAAACAGAATTATCCAAACCCCCAGCAATTCTCCTGCTAAAGTTAAACATGGATTTGCACTTATCACAACTCACCAACTCCACTCCAAATAGACACCCAAAATGTTGAAGCCTGAAACCCACTGCATATCTGTACACTAATGCTCATGGCATCACAAGATGCAAAAGGTAGAAACAGCCGAAGTATTCCTCAACAGATGAATGCGTAAACAAGTACTGTGTGTGTGTGTCCATCTGCAGTACATGTTACATATAGAGTGCGCATCTACTGATAAACATACATAAACACTGCGTGAACAGGAATTATTCATGCCACAACATGTATGAACCATGTCAATATTATGTTAAGAAAAATAAGATAAGCACAAAAGGACAAGTAATTTATGATCTACTTACATGAAGTAACTATTACTGCAGTGTTTTTTTCAGATTGGGTTTCCTCCCTATGTTTCTGTAGTTGATTCTTTACTTCAGATGCTATGAGTTCTGAGAGAATTCCTTTTTATTTCAGAAAAGAATTCCTCACTGAATTCCTCTATGACTTTCTGCTGTTGCTTATTTACTATCAATGCTATTAATTCGTACATTTCAGCTGAGCTAGTAAAAAAGAATTTCACTCTGAGTTCCTCTATGACTTTCTGCTGTTGCTTATTTACTATCGATGCTATTAATTCATACATTTGAGCTGAGCTAGTGTCCTCTGCACTTGTTCTGGGTGGGCACTGGGTTTCCTCCATATGTTTCTGCATTTGATTCTTTACTGCAGATGTTACTAATTCAGGGATTTCTTTTTTCATTTCCAATCTGAGTTCCTCTGTACCTTTCTGCAGCTGTTTCTTTATTTCAGAAGCCATTGATTCATTGCTTTCAGCTGTGTGATTCCCAATTTGTTCTGTGTTAGTGTTCTCTGCACTTGTTATGGGTGGGCTTGGGTTCTGAGATTGCATTTTGTTCCTTCTCATTGTCGTTTTGTGTAGCACTGTCTTCTGATCTTTGTTGTAGATCTTTGTTGCAGTTATAACCTTAGCAGCTACTGAGGTTCAGGTGCAGATCTACAAAGTTTGAATTTATCCAGCTGTGCCTGGCTTGGGTCTGCTGCTGTGCTCAGCTCCTTCCTGCTGCTGCCATTGGGGGTGAACCTGTTGTGCCCCTCTGGCAAGATGTTCTGCTCCTGGACTAGCTGGGTAGTTCTGTCCCCTACACTCTCTGCAGGGATTGCAGCTGCAGAGTTCCACCCCAGGCCTGTATGTCAGGCCTGAGCTGAGTCTGGAGGGGACAAGGTAGAGTAGGGGGGAGAGGCAGCTCTCCCACACATTCACTGGGCCTGGACTAGGAATGGATCTGGGGGTTCCCAGAACGTGACACAAATTCCTACTCTGTGGGTGGGGTGGGGGTATTATGGAGTGATGGGGGGTGTCCCAAGAGGGTGAAAGAGGGTGTCACCCACACTGCACCTGGGCTGGGACCAGTAGGTCATGCCAGCACAGGGTAGCTGGAAGCTTTCCCACACACTCACCGGGCCTGGGCTAGGACTGGGTCTCTACATGAAGTAATGATAATAGGCAAATTTATCCAGAACATAAGTAGAATAATAAGGAAAAACAAAACATAAGTTTATTGCTTAGTAGCTAAAGAGTCTCAATTTGAGGGAATGAAAATTTTCTGGAGATGATGGTTATATAACTATGGAAAAGTAATTAATCTCACACAAATGAATGTTTAAAATTGATTGAAATTGCAAACTTTACCCAATATTAATACATGTATAATTTCCCATTCTTCTATACAAAACTAGAATTAATTTAAAACCTCCCAGAAACAAAGCCCCGTGCTGGGCTGGACAGCCTTTGCACGCTGCAACACTCACCACGGGAGCCACGGCACCTCTGCTTGACTTCCCTGCAGCTTCGGGGCAGAGATGGAGAAAAAGAACAGGTTTCTTTCGTGGCTGCAGCTAGAGAAAATGCGGAGCTTTATTCTCATTGCTGGTTTGACACAAAACCCAGCCGCCCCTTACCACTAATCTCCAACTCATTTCTCCACTCAGTCAGGGCCTTGCTCCCTGGTTTTAACGGCCTGGAGACAGCAATGTCGTCTCCAGTCAGCACATCCAGCCCAGCACCCAGTGCCAACTTCACACATGCCTGCCCATGTGACCCGATGCCGGTGCAAAGCCCTGTCACTGGACATTCAAAGGAATGAAGCATCACCTCCCCTGTTCAAAAAAAAAAAAAAAAAAAAAAAAAAGGCCAGCAAGATAGCTCAGTGGACTAAGTGCCTGCTCAGCTAAGCACAGGGACCAGGGTTGGATCCCCTGCACCATATGCCCTGCCGGCCCAGGCCCTGAATGACTGAGCCGGCCACAGAGTCCAGGTGTAGTGACACACACCTGTAATCCCAGCGCCAAGAAGGCTGAAAACAGGAGTATCACTACAAGTCTGAGCTGCATAGTGAAACCCTGTACCAAATTACATAAAAAAAAACCTTACCTGTAGAAGGAAAAACAACAGAAAAGTGCACTAAGAAGAATGAAACAGAAGTTTGAAAGAAGAAAAGAGAGACACACATGAGGATGGAGAGGGAGAGGCCTGACTGGAGGCAGAGAGATTGTCTAGCATGGGACGTCTTGGTCACAGAAGTCTAGCACAAAAGACACTTCAGCTTATTCTGAGAGGATATATATAACTTATCAGTAAGAAGAAAGAAAAGAGAATGCAGGGGAGAAAAATGTATTCAGAGGCCTAGAGAAAAGAATAAAGCCAAAAACATCCAGGTAGGTAGAGTGGCTGAAGGATAGGGTGTGAGGAAGATAATACTGGCCGTGCCCAAGAAACTAACAGGGCCAGAGGAAAAAAGAGCCTTCCGTGCCAATCTCCGCTGTAGTATAATTCAGTAGGCAGTAAGCAGTGACAAGCTTTGAGGTCAGAGGCCTTCAGCTGTAAGGTGCTCAGTACTCACAAGTCGATGGTCCCTACATCTCAACATTCCTGACCCTTGGTTACCACATGCCTGAAATGCAGCTAATAAATGCTGCTTTGTGAATGTTTCTCTCTTTAAAAAATAAAAAATAATGAAGAGAAATCTTGAGGGGCCGGGGAGATGGCCCAGTGGAATAAGTGCTTCTCTGGCAAGTGCAAGGGCCTGAGTTCAATCCCCCGTTCCACAAAAAAAAAAAAAAGACATTGCAGAAATCTTGAAATGCCCTTTTCCTTGTTGCAGAGAGGAGGGCTAAGAAGGGAACATTCTCTGGTACAATGTAGACCATGTAGTTGCCAGCCAAGTCCAAGGCTGAGGCCATGGGAGCAAGTTATGGCTGGGAGGATCTACAGTCCTTACCAGCCCTTCAAGGTTAAATGAGGCACAGAGCCTGAACCAAGGTCAACCTTAGCCACACCCTCTCTGCTGCAGGTCAGATCCCTCAAGAGGCCAGAAGTCAGCACTCAACCTACATCCAAGGTCACCTTGGTGCACCTCAAAGACCTCATCTTATCCCAGGAGGGCTCCAGGCCTGAAGGCAGCTCAGCCTACTAAAGAAGAGCTGGGAAGCCTCCACTCCTGGAAAGAGACTCACCTGCCCTCACTTCTCGGGTAGCCACAGTGAGGAGCAGCAGGAGGCCAAGCCGGGTCATTGACATCTAAAAGAAAGCAAGATGAAGGTCACTGTTCTAAGCACCCTTCCTCGTATCCTTGTCACTACCATACTCCTATCTAGTCTGACACTAGATAGGAGACCAAAGGGCCCCCAGCTCATTTTATTATTATTTTTTAACTCCACACATCTGAAACCTAAGCCAGTACTGGGCCAACAGCAGTGTTTCCCTAACTCACAGACAGCAGCCCGCTTCCCTCCATGTCAGGCCTGGAGCCAGGAGTTGCTGAGTGGAATCTGCGTGTTTCCTCAGCAAAGACTCCTGATGAGGAGAGAGGCCCTGAGCCTTTTATGGAGACACACCAGCGGGCACTGCCCAGACCTCTAGCCTCGCCCTCCTCTGGCATGACGCCCACTGGCGGTGAGCTTCTGTTCCTGCCAGGGAAGGTTCTTTACTGATGATTCACAGAGACAGCTGGCAGTCAAGGACAACTCTGAAAGGTCATTTAAGAGCATCACTTCCAGACTTGGGGTTTTCATGGATCTGTTTCCCCAAAAATAAAAAAAAAAGAGTTGATGTGAATTTGGAGGGCTCTGGTTGTGTCTGTTTCTTGCTGAGCACAAACATTTTTCTAAAATTAAACATATACCATTATCAAGGGCCAGCCAATAGCTTAGCAGATTAAAGCACCTGCAAGCAGGCTCAGGGGCTGAGGGTCCAATCCCAGGGCCAGCCATGCTGGCCCAGCTCCCAGGGAGCACTGCAACGTAGATTGAGACTGGGCATTGTGGTACGTGCCTGTAATCCCAGCTCTTGGGAGGCTGTAAACAGGCGGAACACTGCAAGTCCAATCTAGTAGTAAGACCCTGAACACTGAACACTGTAGATAGACCCTTCCCTAAAAATATATATATATCATCATCATTTAAGAAAAAAGTATTGGGCTGGTGAGATGGCTCAGTGGTCTAAAGCACCTATTTAGAACAAGCTTAGCAAAGCACAGGGACCGCGGTTCAATCCCCCAGCACCACATGCCAGCCAGCCCTGCCCTCTGGTGGGCTGAGCTGGCCACACACACACACACACACACACACACACACACACATAAATAAATAAAATTTTAAAAAAAAGAAAAAAGTATTAACAACAAAATAAGAAAAGGATCATTTCACAGAAATCTAAACCTTTGTTTCCGTTTAAATGAATTTAAATACCATGACTTAATCTTTCATTTTCTCACATTGTCACGAGCTACTGAATCTTTGCAATGATTACCTGCATTTTAGGAATAAAACTGAAGCTTCAGAGCCCAGTACCTCTTCTGTCCCAGTTTCCCTCTTCAGTTCTCAGATCCCACAGTGTTCAGAACTAGAACTGTTCAGCTCCTCCTGGGTGATGCCACACACATCCCTTCCTTATAGCACTGACAGTAATGGCCATCCTTTGGAAAAATGGTATCTTCTTGGTTATTTTCTGTCTTCCTAGGTTCAATACAATGACTTACACAAAATACTCAAATATATTAATAGGATAAAATAAAACAGCATGCATTAAGAAACTCTCCAAAGGAAATATACTGCCTATACGTGACAACCATCCCTTCCCTGCACTCTGGCTAACCTCAGATCTGTCATGAAGCCTAAGATTATCCTAAAAAGGACAAAGACTACCCAGAAACAGTTAGAAAAATGTGTCAAAATTAAGCATATCTGCAGAATCCTGGAGACACAGGCAACAGGGTACAGAAAAGAGACAGGGGCCAGATCTTGGCTATCAAAATTAGAGATGGGAACAACAAGAAAACAAAGCATACACTGCTGATGGCTTCCAGAAGTTCCTGCCCACCACATCGAGTGGCTGGAAGGGCTGCTGGTGCGCAGCCGATCCTGCTGTCTGGAAACTGCACACAATGCTTTCCCTCAGAACCACAAAATTTGCTAAAGAACAGCACAGCTGGCCATCAGAGACAGCAGGCCCAACACCAAGCTGTTTGAGGAAGAAAATAAATAGGCAAACAGATACCTATTGTACTTGTGCTAAAGTAAAACCATAAAGACTGCACACAAAGGAGGGGAATAGGATTAAGTGGAATTCAGAAGTGCTATATTTAGGCAGCAACTCCCTATTGTGGATGTACTGCAAACAGCAAACAATAAAAAACGTTCAAAGAAATACATATTTTCTTTTTTAAGTTTATTGGTTCACTTTAGATATATATAATGATCACTTGCATCATCGAGAATTTGCACCTGTACATGGCATATCTTAAATCTTTTTTCCCTTTCCCCTGCCCTCCTTTGAACCTCTCTTCCCCTCTTTTTTTTTTTTTTCAGAACCAGGGATTGAACTCAGGTCCTTTCACTTGCCAGGCAAGCGCTTATTCTACTGAGCCATCTCCCCAGCCTTTTTCCCCTCTTTATTCATAAAAATTTTGTTTCCATTTTTCCTTTCTGTTTTTTAATTAATTTTATTGAGAAAGAAATAGCAATGAAACAGTTTCAAAACAGGTTAGTAGGACAGTTACAATAATTAATACATTGCATATTGTTGTCTTCATAGTAGTTATTCATAGTACAAGATGCAGACATGATATCTTGTCTAAACACTATTAGTACAAATCTTTCTTCTCATTGAACTAAGACAAAGTAGCTATATATCTAAACCTAACTAATCTGTATATATAGATATATCTTTTTCACTGCAAAATGGTCCTTTGTTTATGTCCCCCTTTTCCTTTCTTTCTCATTTTTTTCCTTTCCCTTTCTTTCTCCTTCATTCTGTGGAGGACCACCTGGGCAAGTCTCCTTGAAAGAAGAGCAATTGGGGCCAGGGAGATAGCTCGGTAGAACAAGTGCTTGCCTGGCAGTGGAGGGTCCTGAGTTCAATCCCTGGTATGAAAGAAAGAAAGAAAGAAAGAAAGAAAGAAAGAAAGAGAGAGAGAGAGAGAGAGAGAGAGAGAGAGAGAGAGAGAGAGAGAAGAGCAATTGTCTCCATTTTGGCTAAGCCTGACCCTACTACCCTACTTCCTTGTACTGATATGTCTAGAGCTGTCTAGGACTTTTCTTTGTCCCTTCAATGGGCTTTATGCCATGTTGATCTACCCAAGGTGCTGATGGTAGTCTTTGAGGATGGCAGGCGTGTTTCCCTAGAAACCCCCACCTGCCACCCTCTAGCATAAGCTGGAACCTGATTGGCTGAAAAGCCAATGCTCCTAACTGTCAGCTGGGCTCAAGCCTTGAGATACAGGCTATGACTTCTTGGGGCTTGAAAGATTACACCTCGGAGCTGAAGCACTGACCCCAAAACATTAGATGTTATCTCAATTGTATAATGCAGATTGCTCTTTCTGTATATCCTTCTCTCTGCATATCACAGAGGTGAATGCAGGCCTCCCACCTAGCCCCCAGCTCATGGCACTCACATGCTTCCTGCCACTCTTGGTCACTCATCCTCAAGCCACTCCCCTCTTCACAAATGAATAAGAGCTGGGTTCAGTTTGGGTTAAGGGCCTTTGTTCTGGATAGCCATCACCATGGCTAGACTTAGGACCCCGTGGCTCCCCATAATTATAAATATGCCTTAGTGTCTTTCTTCTCACTATGGGTTGCACTGGAAGTGGTAGATTGGAATTAACTTGATGGGATTCCAATAACTTACCCATGGAATTACAAATATAAACTCCCCGGACTGAGATGAGGACCGGGAAATGCTCTCTATGTCACCCCTCTCTAGTTCCCCTTCATATTTGAATATTGTTTCCCCATCCCATAATCTCTACTGTGCATTTTGGTCCTTATTTGTACTTTTGGTTTCTCACACCAAAGAAATTTATACATGTGTGTTTGATTTACGTCATTTAAGAGCATGAAGGGCCACCCAACTAGCTCAGCGGATTAAAGTGCCTGCTTAGGCAGATGCAGGGGTCAGAGTTTTGATCCCCAGCCTGCTGTGCAGGCCCTGCCACCTGGGGTGCACTGAGACAGCGATTAAGACTGGGAGTGGTGGCGCACACCTGTATTCACAGCCCTTGGGAAGCTGAACACAATTGGATCACTACAAGTCTGATCTAGTGAGACCCTGTAGACCCTGTAGACCTTTACTAAAATACAAAAAAAAAAAAAAAAAGAGTATGGCCTCACTGGGCATGGTGGCACACATCTGTAATCCAAGCACTTAGGAGGCTGAGTCAGGAGGCTTGTTGCAAATTCAAGGTCAGTCGGGACTACAAAGTGAATTCAAGGGCAGCCTGAACTGAATAGTGAGAACCTATGGCCTCCAGGTTCATCTATTTACCTATAAATGTCTCAAGATTAGCCTTCTTTATGGCTGAGTAGTACTTCGTGGTATAAAAATTTTTTTCTTCATTAATCAATTGGTGGGCATTTAGGCTGTCTCCAACATTTATCTATTACAAACTGAGCTGCTGTAATCATAGGAGTACATATATCCTTATGGTACATTTATAATTCTTTCTGGAAAATACCAAGAAAAGGAATAGCTGGATCCAATGGTACATCTAGCTAAGTTTTATGAGCAATCTTCACACTGATTTCCACAGTGGCTGCACCAGTCTACACTCCCAGCAGCACTGGAGAAGGTTCCTACTTCTCCACAGCTACACCAGCATTTGTCATTGGCTGATTTCTTACTGATGGCCATTCTTTTCCGAGTGAGATGGAGTGAGTCTCAATGTTGTTTTAATCTGCATCAAATGACCCATGACATTGAGCATTTTTTCACATATATATTTGCCATTTGTACTTCATCTGAGAAGTATCTATTCATTTCAGATGCCCATTTTTGGACTGAGTCTTTAAATTTGGGAGGTTCTTTTTTTGAATTCTTTATATATTCTACAGTTCTTTGTCTGAAGAACAGCTGGCAAAACTTGTCTTCCCACACTGGGTTATCTCTTCACTCTGTTGATGATTTATTTTGCTGTACAACCACTTCTTAATGAGATTCCAGTTGTTAATTCTGTGTAATATTTCCCACGCAATTGTTCATAAGTCTTTGCCTACACCTATGTCTACAAGAGTCCCACCTATTTTCTCTTCTAACAGATTTAGTATTTCTGCTTTGTTTGTTTTTGGTTTTGTTGCTGATAATCAAACTTTTCCTAACCAGGTAGGTGCTTATTCTGCTGAGCTATATCCCCAACCCTATGTTAATATTTATATCTTTCATCCATTTTGATTTCAGCTTAGTGCACAGTAGGAGACATGGGACTAGTTTTAGTTTTCAGCATGTGGAAAGCAAGTTTTTCTAGAACCATTTATTAAAGAGGATACCTTTCTTCCAGTGAATGTGTTTGGCCCTTTGTCAAAGTTAAGATTGAGTGTGTTTGGAGTTGTTTCTGCATCTTTTAAATTCTTTTTACATTTTTATTTTTTTGGTACAGGGTCT